CTTTCAGTAGCCCACGAAAGCTTATGCTCTAATAAATTTGTTAGTCTCTAAGGTTCCACAAGTACTCCTGTTCTTTTTACTAGACTCTTTATCTACAAATTCAAACAGGAAAGTGTGGTATTTGTGTCTATGTAACTATGTCTTTGTTCTCTGCGTACCATACATTTAAATTTCCAGAAACTGTCTGTCCCTATAGTTGCTACAACCTGTTACAGAGCCTCTGTGATCTCTTATGGACACTTTACTACTACTTTTTTTTTCTTGTTGTTTTCTTTAATCTAAAATAAGTAATTTTATAATGAAAGTATATGGTTGGTGATATATGCCTCGATTCAGCAAAATGCTTTAAGGACATACATCAATCCCTATCCAGCTCAGCACTTAAGTAAATTTAAAATTAATTTTAAGCATTTACTTAACTTTCATTGATTTAGGTATGGTCTACACTTAAAAAGTGTTATCAGCATAGCTATTTCATTAAGGGGTGTGATTTTATTTACTGACATAGCTATGCTGATGAAAGCTCTTGTGTGGACACAGTTATGCTGGTAGAAGGTGCATCATACCAGCATAGCTTACTTTGCCTCATTGTACCAGAATATACCATACCACAATAGGCACTTTCAAACTGGTGTAACTGTTTCTAGCTAGAGCAGGGGTGGGCAAACTATGGCCCGCAGGCTGGATCCGGCCCGTGAGCTGTTTTAAGTCAGCCTGCAAGCTCCCACTGGGGAGCCGGGTTGGGGGCTGCACCATGCGGCTCGGCCACACTCCGGTGCTCCACCTGGGGCGCCGGGTCAGAATGCACAGAGATCTGAATAAATTAAACCAAGTCTTTGTCTGTAGGTGCTATTAAAAAAAAAAAAAAGAAATGTAGCAGTTTTATGACAACAGTGTACTTAATACATTATTTACAAAACCCAAACACTTAAAAGAAATAGTTAAGGACACTAGTCTGACATTCTTCACTTATGAAGCAAACATTATTATTATAGAGACTAGAGGAAAATATATTAAGTCACAAAACCATTAACTCTAACACAGACTACTGGCTTATTTTAAGGAATATTTATTTATCTTTTAGTATTAAAATAGTTTCTTTTCATTATGTAACTGAATAGAAAATACCAGTAAATATATTGATAAATTAACAGTGGACTCTTTTGCCAAGTACTTATAGCTGTTTCTGGAAAATAATGTCGTATAACTTATGGTAACTTGAAATTGAGACTGGTCAGTTTGTCCTTAATCTACCCATATAATTTTTGTTTCTCTTCCTGAAAGGTGCTGTGTTGTTGTTTTTTATATGTTGAATTACTGATGAAGAAATAATACTTATTTGTTAAGGTTATTGTGTTGTGGTGAAATATGCATTATTTTATACTGCCTATGAAATATTCATGTTTAAAACTTGATAAGAATATTTGTTACAAAGGGAGTGAAAGATTTTTTAGTCTTCAACTATTCTTTGAGTGCTTTGATTTTGTAAACAATGTGATAGGTAAATACATATTATCTATCTTGAGATTTTGTACTGCCTTAGTATGTAAGCATCATTTTTGTTACAGTGAAGTAGATTAGCAATAGTGAAGTCCCTTGTGGGGACTTGAACCGTGGAGTCTTCATCTCTACTCTCTTTTTGAGTTATATAAAGCTTTTGTTTTGGATAGATTTGTGTGTGTGTGTTGGTTTGTATTTTGTTTTCAGTATGGGTGGGGAGGAAGAGAGGAGCAACTGATGTC